TTCTGTCGGACGTACACTCGTTTCCCACCCCTGCCGTAACTCATGGACGCACGGTGGTCCAGGTGTGTGTGTGTGCGAGTGATCGTGTGGTAGCGTGAGGGGGTAGCCGCACGGTGGTCCAGGTGTGTGTGTGTGCGAGTGATCGTGTGTGTGAGTGTGCGCACTGGCCGGAAGCAGCCCGCTGCTGCTGTTTGCTCTGCCCCGGGGCCGGTAGCACAGAGCAGCAGCGGCAGCAGCAGCCGACCAGAGACCGGCCGATAACCACCCTCCTCCTCAGCGCCCTGCTCCTGGAAGCGCAGGATGCAGGCGCGGCGGAGGCGGCGAGGAGCAGACAGAGACAACCACTGTTGTGCGCACAACGGCCACACACCGGCGACCGCCAGCCATATCGCAAGGGCGCGACAGCGGCGGTCCCTGGAAGAGAAGACGAGACCTCGTCCAGTCTGCAGCATAGCGCGGTGGAATGATAAGGTCTGTGCGAGTGTGTGTGTTTGTGTGCGGTACCCCGCCCCCCTCTTCCCCTTTCCGGGCGGGTCGTAAAAGCGCTGGCGATCACAAGGCGACGCGACAACCCCCAGTGCTTTCCGACGCGTCGCGACGCCACGCCAGCGTTTTACGGCGTGACGCGGCGAAGCGCACTTGTGTGTGTGCGCAAGGAAAGGCAAAAAGAAAAGGGGAAGAGGACAGGGGCAGCGATAACACTCGTTCCCGGAGACACAACACCCAGCAAAGTAATGAAAGCTAATCAATTACTCTGCTGCAGCAGGGCCAGCAGGGCCAGCGAGGTCGTTAGCGCGCGCGGGGTCGGGCTGCACTGCTCGCACCACCCGCGGGGCCTGGCCGGCCTGCTCGGGGCTGGCAGTGTAGCGCCGCAGGTCGAGAGAGAGCGAGAGAGAGAGAGAGGACCTCCCAACGCGTCGCGCGGGGGAACTCTAAACGACTGTCATGTAAACCGAATGGGGGCAAGCGCGCTCTACAGGGTATAGGGGGGAGAGAACAGGGAGTGCAATGGATAGCGCGAGGGAGAGAGCGGGAGAGAGCACACACACTGCACTATACCACCACGGCGAACACCAAGTAGTGGTAGCCCCAAACAGAGCGCGGTTCAGCTCGTCGGAGAGCACCACTAAACCATTCTGCACACGGGGTCCGGGGCCGGAGGGGGCCGGCGCTGCCCGCGTAAAGGCGAGGCGAGGCGAGCTGCTAGGGCCGTTTCGCTTCGCCCCTCCATCTTCCACCGCCGCTTCCGCCTCTGTCGAGACCGCCAAACACCTATCGAGGGGCGCGGCGTGGCGGGGCGTGGCCGGGCGTGGCGGGCGGGGCTGGCGCCGCCCGTGTTTGTTGCCGCGAGTTTTACGAGGCCCGGGCTGGGTCCGAGGCGTGCAGCCATAGCAAGCACGGCGCAGCGGCCGGACTAAACGAGCAGCCGAGCTGGACCAGGGCTCCGCGCCGACCCGTGACCGGGAGGCTGCTGCATCCTTCACTTCCTCTCCCCTTCCTGGCGCAAGCACCCGGCACACCCGCCAAAACACACCGACAAGTCGGGCTGACGTGCCGTATTGAGCGGCGCCCGGCCCGGCCCGCCGTAGCACGACTCTCGAAGGGGAGACGTCACCTGTCCGTCAGAGCACGGCGGAGCGCGGCGGCCCGGAGAAAGTCTCATTGTGACTCGGGGCGGGGCGACCAGCGCGGGCCGCGCGCGGGCGTCACGACCAGGGCAGCAGCGCCGCCCGGGCGCCCCGACCAGAGGTTCGACATACCCGGCGGAAGGCGGCTCTTGGACCGCGCGGGGCGGGCCAACGCCCCCGCGCCTTCTATCTTCCTCTTTCCCAGAGCAATCCCCCCTCCCTTCCCCTCTCCTGCTTCCCTTTCCTTTCCTCATGGAATAATAAATGCCCCTGTTTTTCCTCCCCGCAGTTTTAACTGCCCTCATAAAACGGCTCCTAAAACTCGGCTCTTAATAACACATACACAAGTCTAGTTCATCAGACCCCTCTTTACGAGAGCCGGGGGGCCGCGTCCGCAGGAGCGTCCGGGCGGAGGCTTGGCGGCGGGCACTCGGAGGGCTGCGGGAGGCCGTAGCGATACCAGACCATAGCAGGCAGGGTCATTTGGACGCAGCCCAGGCCTGGGGGTCTGCATGTGAAGGCGCAGGGCGCGGCGAGTTGTAATCGTGTGCGGCCATGTGTGAGGCCGCGCGTACGTGCCCGGAGGGGGGCCGGAGGGCGGCCGCGGAGGGGGGCGGTGGAGGTGGCGCTTCCCTGCCCCCTGCACCTCCACCGGGCTACTTGGGTCCCAGACCTCCCTCATCCTCCCCGGACCAATCAACCTCGACGACCGAGTCCACCCAACGGTTCCCAGCGCCTTTACTTTTTTACCCCCGAAACCCAACACCCGGCCCTGCGGCCTGCCTGCGGCGAGCCCAGGCCTTGCGGTGCTCCTCCCGGCGGCCGGCGGCGCACCGCGTCAGCCCGGCGAACAAGGATCGAGTTGACGGGCGAGCTAATCGTGCTCGCACATGTGCGGCGGGCTGCTCGCGCTCGCTCGGCCGAGCGGAGGAGAGGAGGCACAGCTCCTCCTCCAGCTCCAGACCCAGCCCAGAACAGAGGGCCTGGCGCCGTGGCATCTGCCGGCCCGGGCGAGTACGTAGGCCGACCCGCAACACTCCGGTGCGTGCACGGGATACACCCGGTACATCAGGCGGGGGCCCCGCTATAGCCTGCTGTGTCTGTGTCCGCTGCACACGCAAACACAAACACACACGCGCGCGCGCACACACACACTCACACTCTCACACATACACACACACACACACACACACACACACACACACACACACACACACACACACACACAGCACCACAGCAATGCCATTTCACTGAGGTAATCCCCGTGTAATCCACACGCCGAGCCCGGGCCGGCAGCAGCGGATGGGATGGACTGGACAACGGGATTGCATGCGGACTCCCCATACGCCGCCTGCATGGCGTGACGTCACTCGGGGTCCCATTGTTGAGGTGCGAAAAGAAAACGGCGCGCCCACGCCGCGCCATGCCGTGGCACACCTCCGCGCACGGCAATAGCGAGAGAGGAAATTCAAAACGTCCTCTCCCCTCTCCTCTACGCGTCCCCCGCGCAGCCCCGCGCCCTCCTCCTCCTACGTACCGTGGCCCCTTATCTAACTCGTACCGCTGAAAGCCGATGCGAAAATACGATAAGAGCCCTTCCTCCCCGTGCCCCGGCCAGCGGCAGCGCGGCGCATCACGCCACCGGTACCCTCCCGACCGACCGGCCGGGCTGGGTTCGAAATCCTCGCCGAAGCGCGCCACTTTTTTCCCCTCCTCCTCCTCTTTTTATTGCCACCCGTGCACTTTTCCGATAGTCCCGTATAGTGCCCCGCCGCGCCGCGCCCCGCCCCCGCCGTGAGATGGCGGTGTCGTGATACCCCCGGTCGCCGCCGACGCCCTCCTCTCTCTCGCACCCCGGGCGAGCGCGACGGAGACACCCGGCGCCGCCGTCGCATCGTGCCCAGGAATTAAGTAGGTAATTACCTAGATATTGGCGCCGGCGAGCGGTGGGCGGAGCGCTGGCGCAGCAGCGGGCGCAACGCACCGCACCGCGGCCCTGGACTGGACCAGTCCCGGCGCAAACACCCCATGGACCCGCGGGATACACCAACTCCACCACTACTATTTACACCCGGCAGGCGAGCTGGTCCAGCGACCGGGCCGGGTGCCGGGTCGGGGCGTCGACCTGCGGCGGGCGTACTGCCCCCCAGCAGGCCCGGACACTCGCAAGAGATTCACTAAAGCCTTGCTGGATCCCCCACCCACCCACAAACCCAAAGCCCCTCGAGACCGTGCGTTATTTCATTTCCTCGGGTTCGATCTCCTCGGGCGCGGCGGGCCGTAAGGACGTACCGACCGGGTGCCCTGCGGCCCATGTGGAGCACGACGGTCTGCGGCCCGCCGCGCGCATCTGATCGTGATCCCAGGCAGAGCTCCGCGGCGCTCCTGCTGGTCATGGCCCCCGAGCGAACGGTACCGTCGGAGTACACCAGGGCACCGGGGCAGCCGCTGCCGGGCCGGGCGCGCTGCACCCACGGCGCCGCCACGCCACGCCACGCCAAAGCACTCAGGAAGCTACTCTGGCCGCCAATAAGGTAATCACCGCGGACCCCTCCGACTCCGCACTCATTCCGACTCACTCATTCTCACTACCGAGATCCGGTCGCGGAGGGGAGGGCTAAATCAGAACCCCCCTCCCGCTTCCAGTTATGTCTGAGGAGTACACTCTGGTGCGCCTGGGTGCTCCGTTATAAGGAGCGCGTTGACACCCCGGACTGGACTCGATACGCCGTCCCGCCCAGCCCCGCGGGCCCCAGCGACAGGAAGGATCCCCCTTCATCCGATTATGCACAAAGTCTGCCTGACCCGGCCAAGCCTGCCTCGGCCAGCAAGACGAATCCTTTGCTTTATATAGGCCCGTGTCAGATCCAGGGCTTCTGATTTACCGTGGAGCGCGGCGGGCGCGACCCGGGCAGCAGGCGGGAGAGAGAGAGAGCTAGAGGGAGAGAGGGAGAGGGAGGGAGGGAGAGAGAAGGAGGTGGGGGGCACGACCCATTGACCGCGAAGGCGCGGCGCAGAGTCACGACGGAGTCAAGATCAAGGCGCCCCGTCATAAAAGTAAGCCAGGCCAGCCGGGGGAAAATGTGAAGCAAACAAAATTGCAACGTAAAATACTTCGAAAACGGGTGGGGGAGGGGACAAGTAAAAGTAGGGTCCAGTCAGTTCGCAAGCAGCACAGCACACCCAGCCCGCCCATCACAACAGACAGTGTGCGCGCAGAGACTTTTGCAGGGCCCGAGCCTGGCCGGACGCCTCATCTCCAGGGTCCCGGGCCCGAATCATACCCCGCTCATTTCCGCCGGGCCTCGTTCTTCCGCTCCTTCACGCCGGGCCGGCCACATCCTGCCGCGAAGGCGGCAAACGAGTACTCACCCCTGGTGTCACGGAGTTGGGTCCGTAGGGAAACCTTGTCCATTCTAAAGTTGGTTCTTGCGTTGTGTCCAGCAGCACGACTGTAACAAAAAACAGAGACGAGCACGAGGTTAGTGTACGGACGGAGCATTGTAATTCCAGTGTGACAGACATGAGAGGGGGGAAGGGGGGAGAAAGGGGGTATATGTCGGCGGGAACATCACTTGCGCCGGGGCGTGCCGAGCAGCGCGAGGAGAAAGGAGGAGAGGAGGGGAGATCGCGCCATGTGTGGACGTTGCGACAGTCCATTACGGTGCAAATTAACACCGGCCGGGAGAGGGGCCGGGCTCGCGGGGCACGGCGTGCAAATTGTTTCCAGCAAAGCGAAGCGCACAGCGCGCGGCCGCGCCGTCGCCAAACAAGGACTAAACTGCGGGCCGCGGCACGCCTGCCCTGCCACGACGACACTTTGGCTTTCTCTCAGAGTGACGAGAAAATCGCGCGCGGGGCGCGGGCGGGGCAGGCAGCCGCTCGACCTTCCAGCAGCGCCTCCAGCGGCCCTCGCGGCCCCGGCCCCGCGGCACCATCAGGGACAATTAACGACGGCGCGTTCGGAGGTATAACCGTCAGGCACCGCGGCAGTAACCCCCCCCCCCCTCTTCCTCCTCACCCGCGCACTTTCGCCCCGCGAGGCGAATGCAAATTCACTTCTACGCGAGAGAGCAAGGGCGCGGCACCCTCGCGACGATACTACGTACTATACGCCTTTGAAGACGGCAGCGGCGTGTCTAAATGAGAGAATGAGAGAACCAACAGAGAAGGGGGAGAGAGAGAGACAGAGAGCGAGAGAGAGCAAACGGGAAAGAGGATGAAGGGCGTGGGGCAAATGAACACGAGCAGCGTGTGTAACAACATCCTCCACGTGCTGATTTCATTACTCATCGCGATGGCAAGGTGGAGGAGGAGGGCTGCGGGCGGCGCGCCGCGCACCCCGCCGAAGACACCCCCCCTCCTTCTCCTACCCGGGCCAGAGGTCCGCGCTCCGCCCCCGCCCCGCCCGTGCGCAAACAGACAAACAGGCCGTTAATTGCATTTCTTTTCGGGTAATTGCCTTTTTAATTTCATCTCCCCGGGGCGGTCAGGCTGGCGGCTGGGCGGGGCGGGGCGGGGCGGGTCGGCGGGTGGAGGGGAGAGGGGAGAGAGGAGAGAGGTGAGGGAGGCAGGGTACCTCCGGGACCGGGAGACCTCGCCGAGCTCGACGGCCAGGGCGGCCTGACGACACCGTCCTACCCGCCCCCCTCCACCCCCTTACGCCGTTACACCAGCAGCCGCGGCTTGTCCCGCCACCGCCAACATCACACCGCCGACTCTATTTCGAAGGGACGACACGCTTGTTGATGGGATTCCACGGGAGCCCGCCCAACGGACGGGACGGGGGTCGGCGCCGCGACGCGCACGCTAACACGTGCACGAACGCGCACGCACACAGGGGCGCGAGCGCGCGCGCGCACGCACACTCAATCAGCAGAACCGCACCGCGCGGCCTGGGGGGTCCGGCAGCAGCGGGGGCCCAAACGCAAGCTGGCTCGGAGCCACCACGGGCATCCTCCTCATCTTCTCCTTCTTCTCCTCCTTTTCCTCGGGCGCAGCGTGGAACAGCGATTCCTGCTCTGCGTGCATTTGCACGGATGATGTAGGCGAGTCACCGCGACCTCTAGCGCACACACACACACATCGCGAGCGCGAACTGGACCGTGACGCTGGGACGCTCCGCTGCCTCCGCCACTACGTGTTTATTGTCCAATTAAAATGCGCCTTGGATTGGACACGATATTTAATTGGCCCTGACAGAGCGCGAAGAGTCGCCCAGATCCAGAGGGACTGGAGAGAGGGGAAGGGGCGGGGGGAGGGGCTCCAGAGAGAAGCAGGACAGAGCGGAGCAGCATTCCAGGCCCCGTAATACTTGCCGTTGTATTGGTGAGCGACGCGAGGACACACAGACACACACACAGACACACACACAACGAGCGCGACACGACTGCCCCTAAGGTCATCCCGTTTCCAGACTCCGAAAAACACGACGACGCGCAACCTCGCAACTTGCTTCGTGCAACAAAAATGCGAAATTCGGAACCCTTTCGGGTGATCCCGTTGGAGCCCGGGGCCGCCGCCGGTCCGCCTGGCGACGTAGTACTGTGTGCCACAAGGTAATACTTTGTGCGGGCGTACCACTCCCTGGTGCCGCGCAGGGTGCCCCGAGCCGAGCAGAGCCGACCCGGCCAAGAACAAGGAAAGAGACTTCTCCCTGCTCCCCCGTCCGGGCCCGAGGCGGAGGCCCTCACAAATCTCGGTTCCTCTCCTCGCTGCTTCTTTCGATTTGGATGGAGCGGAGCGGGGCGCGCGGGACACGAGATCGGATTGGGCGCGGCGTGGTGGCGCAGGGGAAAGAGCTGCTGCTGCTGCTGCGGCTACTCCCTCTTCCTCCTTCTTCTTTTTTCTTCCCGTCATTAGGCTCCGCGAACAAGCCCCGTCGAGTCTTGGGTCAACATTGTTGCTGACTCTTTCGTTTGGGACCCGTGTGCCTCTCTCTGCTGCTCCCCCCCAGGACCCCCTCCTCCTCATCCTGCTCCTCCTCCACCGCCGCAGCTACAACCCGCTTTAGCAATTTATGTGCGTGATCCCCTCGGCCCTGTGGTGCGGCGGGAGCAGCAGAGGTGTGGAATATATGCCATCGCGGGCCTCATCGGGTCCCCGGGCCCAGGTGCTGCTGCGGCTGCGGCGGCTGCTGCGGGGGCTCAGGCCGTTATCCGACCGAGCTCCTGCCTGACCCCCGAATCTGCGCCGCCACCCCGCTCCAACTTTGTTTGCAGACAACGCCACGCCACGCCGCGCCGCCGCATTTCACCCAATGGCAGCTTTACAGCCGCAATCCCCGGAGCCGCACCACCACCACCACCGGCTGCACATTTGCAACTTTTTCGAGCAAACCGTGCGCGGAGCCAATAACAAATCAGGCGACTCGGGCTCGGCACGCTGTTCCGCTCCACAAAGTCCCGCAGCTCTGAACTTGACCTCCCCGGCCGGCCCGGGCCAGGTGCGCGGTGCGCGGGTGGAGCGCTTCCCCCGTACCGAGCGGCACGCCTTCTGCGAATCCGGAAAATAAGACCGAGCAGCAGCGCGAGGCGCTCACCACCGTATCGCGCCCCCGCCCTACCGCCCCCGCCGCTCCGAAGGAGCGCTGCTCCCGTTACATTCCTCGATGCGGATTCGATAACGCAGCCCGGCCGCTGGGACACTTGCGACTTACGATGCACTTCCGTGTGGAGCGCTGTGCAGCGCGCGCGCGGGACGCACAAGTCGGCCGCGGCCTCCGCTCCGCACGTCGCACGTCGCGGACCTGGCGGCGGGTAGGCCGCCGCCGCGAGTATAAGAGTTGCTGTTTCTGCCCCTCTCCGACGCAGAGACAGCCCCGCGCGGGGCGGCGCCCCTCGAGACGCCTTCTCTCTATATCGCGAGTCGCGGCGGCCCGGCAGCGCGTCACAAAGCAAAGACACGGAGGCAAGAAGGCGGCCCCCGGCCGGGCCTGGGCACAATGCTCCCTAATGGACGGGCCTGTTTCAGCATCGGGCATTATCCCGGCACATCATGTTGGCGCCGTTTGGGGCCTCTTCGCCTCCTTTTTGTGGCCGCTGCTGGATGCTGTCTGTGTGAGCGTGTCT